TTTTTTTTGCGATAGTGTATGAAGAGATAACTTGAAAAAAATGCAATGTGTGAGCAATGGAATTTTACTGACCATTACTATATTAAGTTACAATATAAAATTTTCAAAATTTTCCGTTAAAAATGAGTTATTAAGATGGTTGAATAAGCTTTGGAATTGCAAGGTTTAATAAAATGTTCCGGTAAAGCTGACCTAAACTCAATGTTACAACTGGACCTACCAGCGTAACAGAATCCTCTCATCACATCTCTTGTGGTTCCAGGAGCACATTGGCAGGTGCCAGCAACACATGCATTAAAAGGATCGACGCATTGACTGTCCTTGTCGCAGATTTGACTATAATGAGCTACACGAGTGCATTCGACTCCATAGAGCTGCTGACCAGCGGGACAGGCTAAAAATTGCATTTTAGAAGATTATCTGCTTAAAGTTTCTAGCTTTGCATAAGATTTAATTCATCAAGTAACAACTGAAGCAATGAGAGGGCAGTGATCGAATAGAAGCATTTTAGGGTCGAATCCAGCGCAACTCACGCACTACGCATTCCCCATCGACAATACTTCCTCCCCAGCATTCGCATCGACCATCACGGCACAGCAGAGGGGGCTTACAATCACGCTGACAAGTGTCTCCTATCTTTGCTGGGGCTAAAGCGACACGATATATATTGTAGTAATCGATAAGCTAATAGAGTCAACAAAGTGAAAATTCTTCAAGAAATTCAACTTCTATAATATAATTGTTCCCGGAAAGAAGATCATCGTAGTCGTACTTACCCAGACGGCAAATCGTTGTCCTCTCATCAATATCGAACTCTTCAAAATTTGTAGGACATGTGCAACGACCATTTCGGCAAACAGTATTCATCCCGTAGCATTCCTCGTCGAACAAACATTTGTTTCCGATTAGTTTTTCTGAAATGACATGGGTTCTTTTTTCACTTTCAAATTAGCAACCGGTTCTCTCAGATAGTTTGAAGCACTTCTCCCAAGGGAGAGTTAAGATTGCTGTTCTCAGGTGCAAAATGGGAGAAAACTGCTTTCTACACTTTTTTTCCTACGTCCATGAAAGAGTACAAAATTTTTAAAATATAAGTTTCAAAAATTAAAATATCAATAATTTGCTGCAACGACAGTGAGGGATCTGAGAAATCTCAAATTTTTCCTTTAATGCCGTAATAAGTCTAAATACTAGGCTCAGTTAGACTGATTTCATCTACACAATATAAATATCGTGATAGGAATGTATTCAGGATTGAAGAAAGGATAAAATTGATTGATCTGGAAGCACCTACGTTAGAAACATCTACACTTATGCAGGTGATCTGAGAATCAGTTTGCCCCACATGAGTCATTACAGCGAATCGTGGCGCTTTTTTTCATTAATTTTGGTTGCCCTTCTCAGAAAGAAATTTAGATGAC